TATATAAAATCACAGGAAACGCTTTTCCGTCCGCCACAAATGTTTAAACAACCCGCGACAGAGCATTGCAATATTGCATCAGCTTCCTAGCACCGCATCTAATGCTGAGGAAGTCGTACTTTTGGATCATGACGATCGGCAGTTCCGTTTGCTCTGGACAAGACCCAAAATGGCGGCGCCAAAACAATTTTGGGGAATGGAGTGCCGATACTTTAAAGCTCATTTAGTGACTCTAGGCATGAAGTGAACTCGGGTGTATTATTTTCCTCTTCGTCTTTATTGTTTAATGATTTCAATTATATCGAATAATGAACACACATATCACGCTACGCGTGTGTTATTATTGGTCTTAAATTTATTAACCTGACCCAGTACTTAAACCATTCATTTATCGGTAGTAAATCTTCCAATATATTTTTTAGATGTGAAGGTAAAAAGACACAGAGATTGATGATGATACAGACGCCAGCGCCGCCCTCGGAAAATTTTCGAACACTAGAAATCAGCAGTTTGTCTGCCATCCACCAGGTAGCGCAACAAAACACCCAAACAGTTATTAATTGTTTTTAAAATTAGCTAAGCTCTACACCTATTAAAAAACCAAAGCAAGATCATTGTGAAAACTTAATACATCGCAATGCATATCTATTCCAAACAATAAATGTTATTAGATGCCAATAAATCTGTTTGATGTCCAAAAAATATATGCGTCAAAAACAGGTAAGTTTAAAGGGCTCCTGGAGCGTTATGACTTTGAAAATGAAAAAAAGCCATCGTCCACCTCTTGGGCAACCATTGTAGCTCTAAATGTTATAAAATATTTTATCATAGTTTAATTATTTCCTCAGCGGCATTTGAAGTACCATGACCCGAAGCACAAAAAAGTGCTACGTTTGATATAAAATATCTAAACAAAAAAATTTTACACAACATTAATTTTTTTTTGCATATTACCAATTATAATCACTACATCTGTAGCTAATTTCATTGCCCTAGCGTTTGTCATTAAAAACATATTTGTGCTGAAAAATGTCAATTTTAGGGCAATATTTGGAGGGATGAAAAAAACAAACTAGTGCAAATACCAAAAAAGTGTATCGTTACATTCTGCTCCGACATCATCTTAACAAAACTGCTATATTCGAACCTGCTATCTTTAATGGATCGTTCATAAAACATGAACTAGCGGAGCAAGTGAGGGTCCGCGCCTTCATATTCGCAACGCTACAAACGCGCATGAACAGTAAAAACCAACACATACGTAATATCAAATGAAAGAGAATTGCATTGCCTTTCGAATGACATGAATCCCACAAAACGGTATTTAAAAGGAGATGAATAATGACCTGCCAAAAAGTACCTAAACTGCCACATTCAGTGGGACCGTGGCCTTAAGTTCTCGGGTGGAAATTGCTGCAGTCGATGATTCACAGCTGTAAAGCACCGTGTCATCGGAGTAGACATGTACCCGTTCTAGGAAAAATTACTCTATTAGCTCTTCAGCGAGGCCTCGGGCAATAACTTGTGCCGTAAGTTGTTTGTTTCTGAGCGTGGGAATGGACTCATTGATATTCAGCGATCGGGCGTATAATGGTGGAGCTGGGTAGATCATATTAGAGGCTTCTATACGCCCTTCAAACTCTGTTGCAAAATATCCTAGACGAGAGAGGGGACGGCTGCACGAGCGGTTCAGGAGAGAACCCGTAGACTGGCAGGTCGTTCGGCGTGCGATGTGGCGAACCGTCAGTTCTTTGCATTGGTTATTGACAAGGTCCGTCCTTCCTTCTACTAGCGTCGGAATGTTAAGTGAGTACCTGGGTAGGTATATATCCTAGACATAAAAGAAAAGAAACTCGTAGGAGCGGTTCAATGGAGCTCCTACTTCTAGGACAAATAAACAAAAACTGCAAAAAGAGGGCAACGATATAAAAACTAAAATTTCATTATATATCTCTGATTGTACTTGCTTTCATGTGCATCGACCAGTAAGGTGAAACTTTGTACCACGCAACACGCATTCTGGGCTGCAAGTATTGCTAGCAGAAAGATGAGCAACCCTTAGTGTACGATTTCTGAACTCCATGTTTGAGTGTGTTGTTCACTGGGTATGGCCAGAAGTAATTTTGATGGTGGGGAATGCACGTTGGATAATCACAGTGGTAGCTCGCTCTCGTCATGTGCTCAGCAGCCACAGACTCAGCTACGGCCATCAGTAGATACCCCCCCCCCCCCCCCCCATAGTTATTGAGGGGACCTTGAAGCACCAGCTTCAAGGTCCCCTCTCACACCACAAAAACCGAACGTTTATTAGAAAACGGGAAAAACACCACAAAAATCGAAAGTCCACACATCTTCATGAAGACATTTACCATTATTTCATTGCGTTCGCTCCTTTTCAAACTCACGCATTGGGAAACTCATGCATAGAGAAGGAGGAAAAAGAAAAGAATAAACAGTTGTTAGTTCTGCGCCCATTTGTGTTCGTTGTGTTTCTCCTCATCTCAATGTAAACTCATCGTTTTCATTTTCAATTTTTTAATCACGCGTTTGTTCTGTAGAACTTCGCAGCGCAGCACGTCTATCAATGTACAACCAACTAGCCCAAACCCAAGTCCAAGCTTTATTATTGGCCCTAATATGCCGCAAATAGTTAAATAAACCCCCGAGATGCCAAACTGATTGCTTGTGTTTGTTAAAAAAAAAAACATTAAAACTCTTCGTACGCCTTGAGTTTTTTCGTTTTTTTTTCAAAGTTATCGTTTTTAGCGGTTTTACATAATACCCTGCAAGTTTCGCAGTATACCTTTATCTTTATAAGAACAAAACGTTATTAATGAAAATCGTATAAACTCTTTACAACTTCGAACGCTCTTTAACCTCTACATTTTTTGGTGCTTTTTGCAGGAAATGCTTTTCATGCGTTCCCTGGAACACCCTGCATATATAATAACCGACCTTATATACTCGGTAGTTAAGAGGTAGTTATACAAGTAGAGAAAGCGAGCGCTGGGGTGTAAGACGACCTAGACATTTGACATGTAGTAACGGAGTTCCCTCACACTGTTAATTCGGGAACACCCAATATACAGTTCATATCCCTACTATTCAAACGCTGAAAGAACAAGAACATCAGTTACAAAAACACTCTAGATTAAAAACATAGGCATTATATAGTCGGTAACAGGGTTGGGCAGAAATGCTCAAAAATGTATTTGGAAATACAAATACTGGGATACATTAAAATAGTAGCTAAAATACTGATACTGAAATATATCTGTAAAAGTGTATCGCGATACGTATCGGAAATACATTTTAAATAGAGGCAAAAAGTATTTGGAAATACAAATACAGGAATACATTTTATGGAGGGCAGAAATACAAATACAGAAATAATGATACTGCAATACATTTTTCAAATTCGTTTGAGACGCCAAATGAGATGAAGCTTGAAGTTAGAAGTGGAAGTTTTTGATTCTGAAATTACTTTCTTGTAGGCTTGGCACTTTTCCTTGAAGGTAGTGATTTCGGACGACAAATGGTCTTCAGTGGGCTCAAAAAAACGTTCCATCAAAGACTGACCGCGGTCCCTTCCCTGACATCCTGTCTGTCTGACGAGGGATGCGAAAAGACTTCGACCTCTATATAAATTCTATGACATCCTAACTTCCATCAAAATGTCTCCATGCCCCTGTCCAATAGGGACGCCGGTGTCAACATTTATCACATGACGTCACGGTGGAATGAACTGGTATTCTTTGTCTGTAGGTGTGGCCTTGAACATGAAACTTTACCGCACTGTTGTATCAAAGGACAATACGCGCTTTCGTTGTAGGTTACCTCGTTGAAGATCATGCAGACAGTGTCATTTGGAATTTTCGAGAATAGTGGGCCACCTGAAGCATCCTGGAACACATGTCTTCTATTACGGTTGATAAAACGATACGGTGGCATTTCTGTTGTGAAGGTCCTTCCTACGGAAGCTCCGCCACCGACGCATGGATTGCAGTCCTCAAGTTTCGGCTTGCATACTCCAGATAGAGACCTCGTGGATTGCGACCTGATATTGCCGGCCCAGGTGCGAGCTCTCCGAGAAACAGCGCGCTCGAGACGAGTCGCAGTTGTACGAAGTCTGGGTCGGCACAGCGAGGCCACGTCTGACCTCCGCCCTGGGTTTCGGATCACCAGAGCAGCGGGTCACTTTCACGTCGGCTGATGACGTACCCTTGAGCCGTGCAATATTACGTGCGCAGCAGCAGTCACATTCGAATATGTGTTGAACTTCACTGCGTGAGTCATCCTATACTATTTCAAGTCAGTCACCGCCAGGCTCGTGCTGCAATGGACTGTGAATCAGTTTTGCCGGCCGGGTGTACTGTGTACGCTAAGGCAAAAGAGACGGTTAGCAGCGGGCTTTGAATGCCAGTAAACAATGACTCAAGAAACCCCTACCTAAGGACCTGCGGCACAAGATGCTCTGCCTCCACTCCTGGCACGCCACCTGGTTCGAGTCCCCGACTACGCAACACTTCTCAGAAGAGAGAAGAGGTCACATAGAAAAATAGTTTGGAGAATCGAAAGGAACCTTCGTCAGCATGGCAACAATGCCCCAGCATCTCCTTGACCCTAATGTCCTCAGAAGTAAAAAAATAAAAAGATATTTGGATTTGCATTTTCTTTTCTTTTGGGGGGGGGGGGGGGGGGGTGTATTTCTCAAGAAATGTAACGAAATACATTTCACCCTGATTGTATCGCGATACAAAGAAACCTTCAAAATGTATTTCGATACAGGAATACAGATACTGGTGAAAAAAAGGTATCGCGATACTGAAATACTGATACAAAATGTATTTCTGAAATACTATCGCGATACATTTGTATCGCGATACTGCCCAACCCTGGTCGGTAACAAGTCAAAAGTACAGAAGAAGCTCAGAAACGTTCGTAATTAATGGCGTAAATTATATCGCCGTGGCTCACCAAAGAATAAAGATTAATCACACTTAATGGGAGACGTTGCAAATGTCAGGTTTTGCAGAACCCAGCCTAGAGCAGACCAACCCGAAGAGATTCGACATGGCTTCTTCCTGAAACAGTTTGCTGTGCCGACCGTCGACCTCTATGTAAGGAACGTAGGTTATATGGGGGACTAAAGCCCACGTCTTCTGTCCCATCTTGTAGAAGAGCAGCGAACCCAGCTTTGACTTGACGCAGCGATCGATGATTTTCCAATTGAGACCAATGCCTCCGGCGCACGCTTGTGCCACGTCCAGTGGCGATGTTGAAACGGACATGCAGTTGACGTACTCGAGGCTTTTGTAGCGCGCACTCGTCATTGCTATGGCACATGTCTGTATCATGTTGGCCAGACATTCTTTGTTGCCGTGATGGCACTTTATTTCTATCACCTTTTTGGCGTCCTTTCTGGTGAAGTTTTTCATGGTGGCGAGCCCGAACGGTACCAGGCGGATTTCCACGAGCTTCCCAAGCTTTTCGTACGTAGGCCACAGCTGGTCAGTGATAAAGCGCTGACTGAAGGGGCAGTAAGATTCATAGAAAAGTCGGACCTTGACGACGGTTGAAGTGGACACAACCTTGGATGCTTCAGGTATGGCGTGACCTTGGCTGAGGAAAAACAGTGTTAACCATAGGACTGCCGCCCCGCTGGCAGGGGGGTAACATGGTTCGATAAAGGGTGATAGTGAAATGTGTTCGACTGCCGAAGATTGGGAAGCGTTATGTTAAGATTGATTTCGATCTCACTTTCTTCTCTTCTTTCATCTTTGGCGTTCTGCCAAACATCTCAAGTAGCTATCCACAGAAACAAGGTTAACCATAGGCTGGCACACACCAGCTTGAAGCACGCGGAGCAAACGCTCGCGCTCCAGAACCCAGGGATCCTGGGTTAAAGGGGCGATGCAGCGATTCTTGTACTTTGCGCGAATACCGCTTATAACGGATTCCTGGCGTTAATAACCTGTGAAACACCCGTTCGTATTTCACTACACGCAATCCAAGTCGCAGAAAAAATTAAAGAAAAACGAGCAGCGTTCAACTTCTCAACTCGCAGCCAGAACAAGCGGCCACTTGATTTGGAGCCGATTATATGCCGCCAATGTTGATCATGGCCACGCGCTGGGGTTGGCAAGGCACAGGTCACGCGCTGAGTTCCAGATATTGTTATGTTTCGGCTATTGTCGTCTCTGCAGCAATTGGACACGGGCCACTACCCGAATGCTTCTCGAGCTATCGATTATCACTAGCCCAAGTCGAGTGTTCACGCAGTGCTCTGATCCAATCTATGAGCCGCATTCAAATATCGTCACTCGGCGGTACTCCGACCGCCGAGCTACGTCATTGTCATGATTCTAAGGCATGACATAAAAGGAAGTTGAAGGGGCAAGAAGAAAGAAGATGAGGCCACGTGAGACAACGATTTGAGGAGGGGAAGAAATAGAAGAGGACGGGGGGAGAGTGAGAATCGAAGACCGAGACCGGGAGGGAGCGGCGTATGGGGTCCATGGCTACGCTCCAGGACGCGCCCGACCCTTGCTGTGCACAACCTGTCGCGGCGAGAGTTCCACACTCCCCTTCAGACGCCTAGGAGACAAGAGCCTTCGCTGCCTTGGGCAAGTCACTTCGGTTCGTCGACGTAACGAACTTAAACTGTAAGGCCTGCTGCGAACAGCTTCATTTCTTGGAACTGTAGATGTGCTTAAGCGTGTGTGTATTATTTCCACTTTTACTGTGTACATACTCCTTTGCTTTCCGTTATATCTTCGTCTTCCTTTTGTAAACATAATGGGTTGTAAATTATTCGTTTTCGGCTTCGCCTCTATCGCATTCGCAACGCCTCCGGCCGAACCGTGACAATGGCGAGCTTGCCAGGATACTTCTAACATCCTGATATTACGAAGTCCGAGAGGCGCGAATGTTGATAGAGATATGCCGATACACAGAAGTGTAATTTAGAGCGAGTCATTACTAGGTAAAACATGTCCTGGAAGTGAGTACCCTGTCTCATTATTTCTTGGCCATGGAAGTTCCGTAAAAATAACGCTCGAAGTGCAAGTTGATAAGATGGATCTGTGTAAAGTGCAAGAGATTGGAAACGCTGTAGGACTAGAAGGGATTGCACTGAAAGAATGGTTGAACGGTTTGCTCGAGGCAGAAAAGGCTGACCTGAGAGAAGAGCAAAAGTGGCAAGAGTTGTTACGAAAAGAAGGCGAGCGGGCACGTTTTGCCTCGAGAAAAGAACGACAGTGGAGAGAAGAAAGCGCCACGGAAATAGCACGCATAAAGACCGAATGCAACCATCTAGAGGAAATGATAGCGCTGCTGGAAGCTGCAGAGGAGTCACAAAATGGTGCAGAGATGTGGAAGGATGAAGCCTCACTCCAGAAAGAAGGTCTACAAATAAGGAAAGCTGCGGAGTTTTCGGGAAATTCTGAAGAGGCTTGTCCGCTTGTCGCAGAAAACGACAAGATGAAAAGTAAGAGAGGGTCCTTCGGAGACTCGGATCCCCATTTAAGAGCTGGTGAGGAAGCTGAAGCTTCAGCCCTTGCAAGTGGAGAAGATGCTGAGGTGGTGATGCGGCCCATGGTCGTACTGAAGAAGGCCCAGCAAAGCACAGGGAGTGCTGAGGTACGGAGGGCTACTTCTGCTGGTCAGAAAGTAAAGAGCAGAAAACATCTGGCACGTGTGGTTCACCGGAGTGCTCAGTGGAGACCCCGGTTGAACGCTCAAAAGACGCTGCTAGGGCAGTGCAACGGTAAGCTTAGGAGGCCACGAATTGGCGCGCAAGTAAAAGGTCACAGTGTCTGCAACGGAGTAAAAATGCCAAACAAGAAGCCAAGGACGCGCTATGCTGACGTTGGAATCGCGATCTACCCTATCGCGATTGACCGCGCTAAGTTAAGCTGTTACCCTGAGATGCTATTGAGCGTTTTGGTGGACTGGACGGCCAAAAGGCCAAGACTGGGAGGGTAGCTGAGCACTATGATTTGATTGCATTCCTGGCTGAAACCATTAGACTGGGTCTTTTTCTTTTTTGCAAGCGTCAATGCTACTATTTGTAAGCATATCTGTTTTGTATGTCTAGATTCCGCTTGGAAATTTTGTATTGCCTTCGTCACGAAGAAGGTTGTTTTTGTATTCGTAGCTTGTACTACAAAAGCGAAGTATGAAAGGAGGTTGAACACTGGAAGGCAATCGCTTTGCGGTATTCTCGGCACGTGGTAGTCTTTGATTTTCGGAAAGGTGCGCATTCGTTCGGTGATTTTTGTTATGCACGGAATTATTCAGCTTTGAGATGATCGTAGCGCTCAGTGATTGTGCTTTCAATTTTTCACGGTGTGCTTCCTGAACGATTGTGATTGGACGCAATGATTTGTGGATGGAAATTCTTCAAGAAACCTGTGCTGTGAAAGTGTAGCTGTGGAGGATAGCCATTGTGCTTGGTGGTCAACTACCGCAAGACAGCACATTCTGCAGATGAAGATCTCAACAGATGAAGATCTCAAGAAAGAACTTCATGTTACGAAATTCTCGTTTGCGGGGGGTAATGTCATGATTCTAAGGCATGACATAAAAGGAAGTTGAAGGGGCAAAAGAAAGAAGATGAGGCCATGTGAGACAACGATTTGAGGAGGGGAAGAAAAAGAAGAGGACGGGGGGAGAGTGAGAATCGAAGACCGAGACCGGGAGGGAGCGGCGTATGGGGTCCATGGTTACGCTCCAGGACGCGCCCGACCCTTGCTGTGCACAAGCTGTCGCAGCGAGAGTTCCACACTCCCCTTCAGACGCCTAGGAGACAAGAGCCTTCGCTGCCTTGGGCAAGTCACTTCGGTTCGTCGACGTAACGAACTTAAACTGTAAGGCCTGCTGCGAACAGCTTCATTTCTTGGAACTGTAGATGTGCTTAAGCGTGTGTGTATTATTTCCACTTTTACTGTGTACATACTCCTTTGCTTTCCGTTATATCTTCGTCTTCCTTTTGTAAATATAATGGGTTGTAAATAATTCGTTTTCGGCTTCGCCTCTATCGCATTCGCAACGCCTCCGGCCGTACCGTGACAGTCATCAAGTTTTGTGAAGGAGAGATTGAATGAAAACGCTCGCCTTGGTCCTTGATATTACACCGCAACAAAGGAGTTTCTCGGCCAGTGGCGTTGCGTGCGAATATCCATGAGTCCCACTAATGCCAGTAAGCTCGTGTAAAATGAAAAACATTCCAATTGAATATCGTTGCACCGCCCCTTTAAACCCTCATCCCTGCCCGCTTCAACCTGAATGAGCATCGTACCGGCGTGCAGTCATGTATCACTACTGCGTGTTGCATGTTAAAGGAGCTGTGAAACGATTTTCACGTCAAAAGAATTTGCATCTTGTATTTTTTACATTGTTTATCTTGTCATAAAGAACAGAAAACGCTTCTTCGTCCTTCGAATTATAGCGTTCCCGCCGCGTATTCGCGAGACAAAAATTAGAAAATCTCCCGATCTGTAACAAGCGAGCGGTGGCCGTGAGAACCACGTGGCCTAATGTGAAAAGGGGAGTGGTAAAAAAAGCAAGTTTTGTGCAATTACCTGGTCAATAAAAGGTAATTGGTTTTGTAAATCTTGTCTTTTCAACATAAATATGTTTAACAATGTTTAAAAGGGGCTGGTATTAGCGACAAAATTTTTATTACACGGAGTTTCAACAACGCCATCTATCCGAGGTTACCAAAGTTCAAGTTCAAATAATTAGTCTGAACTTGAACTTTGGACGTGAACTCTATCTGCTTCCGCGAGGGGTTGCCAGAAGCCGGACGGTCGCAGAGCCGGATGTTGCAAGCACCTGGTAACGTGGTTGCGAGCGGGTGAGTTCTCGCTGCTGACTGATGGCGTCAGAGAGAGAACTTCATCGGAACCCCGCGCGTCCCGCTTTCACGTTAGAGCGCACGTGCCTCGGAAGATGGTGAAGGAGTTGAGAAGTGCCAAAAACCACAATCTTTGTCACTTTTTTAAATAAAAACTGGGAGAATAAAGTCTCCCTCTGTAGCTGCCAATGCCTGTTCAGGAGTTTACCTAATGTCTTGACTGTCAGTGTCCATTTTCCTTTCATCGCCGACTGCGCTCTGCTGTGCTGCTTCCTGATGGTCTTTCTCACAAAGAACCTTCTGGTTCCCCTCTAGTCGACTCACGTTGTTTCCAGAGCCTGGGGCGGTTCTCTCCACTCTTGGTACTTCCGTCACCTCGGTTTCCGTTGTACGTGTAGCATGGAACAATGTTATCTTTTTTGCTGCCACCATGGCATCCCTTCTCACATATTCTGCCACCATGGCGTCCATGATATGTACATTTGGCTCTTCGTCTGCAATGAGTGTCCCTTGCGACTCTGGCGTATGTTTTCACACATTCGTCATCACTATGTCCAAATCGGAAACACTACGGACATT